TTTATAATTTTGTAAAAGGCAGTTCTGCCTAAGACAGCTTAAATTCCATCAACCATTCTGGCCAGAACAACCTCTTTATACTGAGATAAGTTGTTAAAGTCCTCACCAGTCTGAAGCAAGAAAAGAACTTACTTGGGAAATATTCCTCACCAAAATTCATAATCGCTTGTTTATGGAAATCAGTAACTTGGGGCGCAAGTTATCTATTCTAGAATAAGTCTGCTAGAATCTTCATTTCTAGCAGTGACACGCTCATACACCAAAGAAAGCTGACTTGTTGACCAGTCAATGGTTTTCAAGGCAGTGGGGAACTTTGCCCTTCCACCACATTAGTGATCACAAAACAGGTGAACAATTTGGCACGCCCAGTAGGACTTCTCAGTATACATATTCTCACAGAATTCTTCTCAAGTTTATGAATATTGGAAGCTCTAGCTAGAACCCACACCACGCCATGGAGATAAACCAGGGAAGGACTGGAGTCAGAGGAAAGTGATGCCAGGCACTCAGCATACGGCAGCACAGGGAGCAGACGGTCCAGGACTTCCAGAAGGATGAACCTGATTCAGGAATCTGTGTTGTGACAAGAAGTCACAACACAAAGGAGCCAGGACACTCTCAATAATATGACAGCTATGATGCAATGGCAGGTCAACAGGCAGTTTAGGAAGGACCGTGAGGCTGCCATAGCCAGAATTCCGAATTCGGATGCTGTAGTCCAGCAGCTAGACCTTCCCTATGGTCCCCCACCAGGATTGGCATGGCCATATCAAGAGAATCCTCTTATTGCACAGATAGCTGGGATGCTAGCACGTAGGGAAATTCAGGCTAGACAAAGGGGAGGAGCCCTTCCTGTCCAAGAGCGTCAGGCCTTAATCCGACCGGAAGGCCCTGCACCAGGACAGATTCAGCAGAACCAGCCAGAGCCTCAGCCTATTCCATAACCCGTGGCCCTACAAGATCAACCTTTGGCACTTCTGCCTGTACCACCAGCAGTGTTGCCCTATATACTCAGAAGGATGGATCCCAATCCATTCCCTCCACCCGCAAGAGGAAGGAGAGGTAGAGGGGGGAAACTACCCTTTTGCTAACAATGACAGGAATAGGCAGGGGGCAAATTGGAGGAACCACCCAGATCTGGAAGAGCAGGAAGAACACAGGAAAGAAGTTCTGCCTAGGCCATATAGGGCGGAACCCAGAATTGACTACGCCCAACCAGAACAGGGGCAAAATCTCCTCCCCATTAATGCTTTAAATGACGTGGGGGCATTACAAAGGATGATCAGAGAAATGATGGAGCCTGAAGCCAGAAGAGGAGAAAGGCCCACCTATAGAAAGCCATATCCAGCTTACATTGATCAGATACTCTTATCCCCAGGTTTCAAAGTACCAAACTTCACTTTGTTCAACGGAGAGGATCCCCATGCCTCATCAGTTGAGCACATAGGCAGATTTTCCATCCAGTGCATAGCCATAGAGAATAACCCTCTGTTGAAGTTAAGGATTTTCGGGAATTCTCTCTCTGGACAAGCTTTTACTTGGTACACCAATCTGCCAGCAAATTCTGTTCAAACTTGGGAGCAGATGGAGAGTGTTTTCCATGATTACTATTATAGGATTCAGCCAGAGGTCACCATCAGTGACCTTGCTGCCCTCAAGTAGAGTGAAGATGAACCTGCTCAAGACTTTATAACCAGGTTCAGGAAGCTCAAAATGAAGTGCCGGATCCCTATGGAAGAAAGACACTTCATCCAGATGGCTCAGGCTGCCCTCAAAATCTCTATGAGAAAAAGATTTGATGGAATGCTATTTGGAGACCTGGCAGAACTGGCAGATAAAGCATCCAAGTACGAGGAGCTGCTCAGGGAAGAACAGCAGAAGAGAAACTCTTCCAAAGGCACATATTATAAGTCCCCTTCTTCTTCAATACATATGATTGAGGTAGAGTCAGAAGAAGATGCAGAAGGCTCGGAGGAGAGAGAGATTGCGGTGGCAGAGATGGCAAAATTAAAGCACCCCATATGACACGTAATTTTTTTAGTAATTCATATGACAAATTTTTTTTTTTTTTTGGCCAAATTATTGACAAATCATTTTAGCTATTAGATACATCCAACAACTACCTAATACTAAAACAAGAAACCTCTCTCCAGATTCTCTCTTCCCTTTATCTGCTTCCTTCATTGTCTTGCTTGTCGGCCCACCGCATCATTGATGCAGAACCCCCCAAGTTAAATTTGGAATATAGGATTTTGATCAAAAAATTAATATATAACAAATCTGGAATCTGGCTAAGCTTTGAATCAAGAGCCAATTATACTGACCCGCCAATTAAAAAATTAAAACAGGATTGAGAACCAAAGTTGTGTTGGCTGAGCTTTGAATCGAGATAACATAAATAGGAAAGAATGAATTTCAACACTAAGCAAAGCTGCAAACTGTTGATATTAAAGCTTTTAAAAATTTTACCATTATAAGTTTTAAATTTTTTTTAATTATTTGGCTGTTTTATTTTATTTATTGTGGGGTTATAAATATTCGTTTTTAGGTTTTATATATATATTAAATGATTTAATTTTTTGGTTTAATGTGGTGAATGTTATATGATTTTGGATGCCTATAAAAGACCACTCCTCCTTCACATTTGAAAAAGAAGATTACACAACAAAATCTAATTATCTCTTCTCCTACCTTTATATATATTCTTTACTTTCTATTAGTATTTTTGGGCAATGGTTATGTGACTTGGAGACATATCTGTCTATGAACGTGCTCATAGTGGATCTTAAGCTTGTGTATTAGGGGTCGTATCTTGGAGTCTTGTAGAACGTTAGTACCTACACGTAGGGAGGCTACAAAGGCTTTAAGACAGTGTCTTTAACATGCTTCATCGTACCAAGCTCACCTTCTTACGTATAATCTATTTCACTTTTACTTACCTATCAATTTGTTTTCCTTCAGTTTCATTGTATCTTAAAAGCTTTCCAATTTGTTATGTTATTTATAATATAAAGGTTTTTTTATTTGGCTTTACAAAAAAGGAAAACTATATTTTTTTATAGCACAAACTTGGATGTTTGAAATTCAAACAAAAAAACCACCACACACAAATTATTGATTTGTGTTTTCCACAAACAGTCACCAAATAGCTTCTGAAGAAGATAGCAGAGAAGAAGATGAAGAGTGAAGAAGAGAAGCGTATTGGAGAGAGAGAGAGAGAGAGAGAGAGAGATGGATACCTGGAGAAGAATGAAGAAAATAACCATTGTAGAAGATAGCAAAGAAGAACCCTAGGGAGAAGAAGATAAAAATAATGTCTGATTTTTCATGTAGAATGTGTGTTTTTTTTTCCTAGCCTTATAATTAAGAGTGTATTATCTAAACCGAGGTGTGTGAGTTATATTAGTTAGTCAGGTAAGGAGAGTATTAAAAGCCCAAATCGTTTAAAATAGTCAGATAATTAAATAATATAAGTTGACACCAAACAACTGACATGGACGATTTACTCTTAGCCATAGTCTAATACGGTGTACCAAATGAGCCATTAATGACAAAATTGACGGCAAAGGGAAACGGGGGACGCAAAACTAAAGCACATGGGGCATAATGACCCAGTTTGAATAGGAGGGGGCAAAGTGAGATTTTCGGTAAAACATAGGGGGCACATCGAATAATTAAGCCTTTAATAAGTTCCATGCTTAAGTTGCCAAACAATGAAAATATCAATTTCTTATTAATTCTCAACTTCTAGCTAAATCCTCATTTATTTTCCTTCATCCAAACAAAGGATCAAGGTTTTTGCATTTGCTTTGTATGGAAAAGGAAAACCAAATTTCTAACAACATTGATCTACTTTGAAAATTACCGCTGTCATGCTTCAACTGCAATTGTCATTCCCTTTCACTTCGACATATATCCAAAGACTAATTTGAAGGCAGGTGCCTCTCACCTACCTACCATATAGGTGAATTGAGGAGTAATTATCTAAATTTGTTTTTTTCTAGAAAAGCAATATGATATTGTTGCAAGTAAAAGAGTACGAGCCAAGAGGTATCTCGAACAAACAAAGAGGATTAGGGTGAGCGAAGCTACAAAACAAAGGTTTGATCATCGGACTAACCAAGAAACCTACATTTTCTCCATTGAAAGCAATTAGAATGAACCCAAACCCCTTATAGAACACCACCTCTACATGCCAAGTTCCGTAAAGCACAAACTAAAGATTACAATATTCCTCAAACCAAGCATCATGAATAATGTTTAGAAGGGTTGAGTTTTTGTGGTTCCTAATTCAAAACAACAACTTTTCCTCATCACTTCAGTGTTAAATTCTGGTACCACTTTATCAGATGAATAAAATCAAAATTTAAAACAATAGAATGCCCAAATCTATTTTCATTTTTCATGCAAAACGATGGGGAGAGGAAGAAAAAAGGAAAAAAGAGTGCTTACCCGTTACTAGTATTATTGTTTACATAAAAAGAGAAAAGCACACGGTTTTACGTTTCTTTCCTTTTGAGATACATGTTATACAACCGACCAAAAGTGATCTATGGAGGAAAAGAGACAAAAGATGTAGAGGGATTTAAATAATAATCTTACCTCAACACATTGTGTTCTTCATTTTGACGGTTCCAGAGGAAGTTGTAGGACTTGCTCTACTGGCATGTGTTGAGAGAGAGGTTATGCATTAGTTGAGATTGTGACTGATTCCAAACTTTTGGTAGACATGCTTCAATGGGATGGTAAAGTTGCATATGTTTTGGTGGGTGGTTTGGTTTTTGACATTTAAATTTGGCTAGTAAAGTTGCATACCATTTTCTTTTTTCTTTTTGGAATACAATTTACAAATGATGGTCTAAATTATAAAGAGAGAGATGTTTCTCACACATGTACTACCAATATGTCATGGGGATTTGAACATGTAATCTGCAAGTTAATACAATTTTCCGTTAGACTAAACCTCGTTGGTTATCGTTGCTTTTTTTGTAACTCACAATAGAGATTATTATTTTTATAGTAAATTTGGCTTACACCCTTCAAATTCAATTTGCCGTACCTAAAACCCTTCACTTTTTGTTCCTATAAATAATACCCAATTTGTATAAGTAAAAACCCATGACTAGGATCCAACTTAGCAAGTTACCTAATTAAGCATAAAATCTGATTTATTGTACTTTTCAGATTCCAAAAATACCCCCAACTAAGCCATTATTGCATTTTGTATATTAATGTA